GGAATGTAGTATAGTATAGTACAGTATAGTATAATATAGTATAGTGTAGTATAGTGCAGTATAGTAAAGTCGTAGTATAGTACAGTATAGTATAGCACAGTGTAGTATAGTATAATATAGTATAGTGTAGTATAGTAAAGTACAGTATAGTATAGTTACAGTATAGTACAGTATGGTATATTACAGTACAGTATAATATAGTATAGTGTAGTATAGTATAGTACAGTATAGTGTTGTATAGTATAGTATAGCACAGTACAGTATAGTGTAGTATAGTATAGTGAAGTATAGTACAGTATAGTAATATTAGATGAAACACACTCAATGTCCAGAATTCAGCTGAAAGAGGAACAGGAGCCACATCCACAGCAGAAGATCTTCCTTTCCCTCCAGACTTGCTGTGCACACACACACACACACACACACACACACACTCACACACACACACACACACACACACACACACACACACACACACACACACACACACACACACACACACACACACACACACACCACTGTACTGATGTTTGTAGTGTATAGACTGTATGTCTCCCCTTAAACTCAACACTCTCAGCACACACACTTGGAAAGAATCACACACTCTCTCTCAAACAAAAACTCTCTCACACTGACACACACACACACACACACACACACACACACACAAACTCAGCAGAGATGTACACCTGAATACCATCTGTGCACAATCAGTGCTGATTAATTTAGCAATGTTGATTTTGAACAGACACACACACACACACACACACACACACACACACACACACACACACACACAGAGTCCAGCAGCTTCACCTGTTGCGGGAGTTGAGCTCTGCAGGCCGGATCAGACACCCTGAGGATGACAGAATAACGCACAGATAATTTCGCGCCATCAAACCGGTTTACCATCAATACCGCGCGGACGCTGGGACGCGTCGGGCGGAGGAGGCGTCGCGTCGCCCGGTTCTCCGCCGACCGGATGATTTTACTGACCGTCATCCGCGATCAACAGGTGATGCTGCCGCTCCGCTCGTGAACGAGCACCGGGGCCGCGCGCGCGCTCACACACCCACTGCGCGCACAGCGGAGAAACAGAAGAGTGTGTGTGTTTATATAGACGAGCATCAGTGTGACGAATCACAGCAGCCAATACAAAAGCACACACACACACACACACCATTACACCGTCAAGTGTGTGATTTAGCGCACAGTCAGGGTGTGAGAGGATCATCATCTGAGCTCAGTCTGATCTCTCACTGCAGGACAGGTCTTCACTACACAGCTCTGAACCCATGAACACACTTCCTGTATGAACACATCATCAAATAAGCGGCAATGTTCAGTGAATAGGAGAGATGGAGCTGTATAAGTGCCCTTAGTAGTGAGCTAGTGGACATGGAGCTCTGCTGTACTTCAGTGTTCCAGCAAGCGTCAGGCAGAGAGATCTGTCCAGGTGTGCTGCTCAATTCCTCGCTCCAGTCCTCCAGAAAGCCTGTAGAGGAGCGGTGAGGCTCTAGCTGGTATTACCCCGTCACCTCGACTGGTCCATCTGTCGATGTCCGGCACACGTGACTGATTCTGACCGTCCTGTGATGCTGTTTGATGGTCAATATGGACCCAAAGCAGCGTGACAGACCCGGTCTAACGTGAGCACGGCTCTGTGTTCGGGAAGCGCAGCTGCAGTGTGTGGATCAGGCCTGCAGGACAGATGATGACCCATTAAAGCGCCCTAACCCAGTTCTGGAGTGGGCGATCAGCAGGTCGGTCTAGGTTAGTTCTGTGGTGCGGTCGTGCTGTAGGTTAGTGTATTGTTCTGCTGTACTGCAGATATTACACACAGTCGACAGCGCCACACGCTGGAGGAGAAGCACACACACTTCTGCATCACATAAAGGGTCTCGAGTCTGAACTGGAGCGGACTGATGATCCATCTCGGGTTAGACGTCCTGTATAGTGGGCTCGCTGTTCATCAGGTGTGCTATATCTGATATGACCATCACTGATGCTCAGCACAGTCAGCACTGCAGCGATGCCCACTCGGTCCATAATGAGTGCTGGAGCATAACGACACTGAACGCAGACACTAGTGTACACTGTAGTGCACTTCAGTCCTTACTACAGTACACTGTGCAGTGTTGGAGAATAACACACACTACAGCTGAAGAACACTGCAGGATCAGCTCCTGTTCACATTACTGTAGCTGATGTGTTTCCATAGCAACTGTAGAATCACCACAACAGACCAGTTACTGTAGCTGATGTGTTTCCATAGCAACTGTAGAATCACCACAACAGACCAGTTACTGTAGCTGATGTGTTTCCATAGCAACTGTAGAATCACCACAACAGATCAGTTACTGTAGCTAATGTGTTACCATAGCAACTGTAGAATCACCACGACAGATCAGTTACTGTAGCTAATGTGTTACCATAGCAACTGTAGAATCACCACAACAGATCAGTTACTGTAGCTAATGTGTTTCCATAGCAACTGTAGAATCACCACGACAGATCAGTTACTGTAGCTAATGTGTTACCATAGCAACTGTTGAATCACCACGACAGATCAGTTACTGTAGCTAATGTGTTTCCATAGCAACTGTAGAATCACCACAACAGATCAGTTACTGTAGCTAATGTGTTTCCATAGCAACTGTAGAATCACCACAACAGATCAGTTACTGTAGCTAATGTGTTACCATAGCAACTGTAGAATCACCACGACAGATCAGTTACTGTAGCTAATGTGTTACCATAGCAACTGTTGAATCACCACGACAGATCAGTTACTGTAGCTGTTGTGTTACCATAGCAACTGTAGAATCACCACAACAGATCAGTTACTGTAGCTAATGTGTTTCCATAGCAACTGTAGAATCACCACAACAGATCAGATACTATAGCTGTTGTGTTACCATAGCAACTGTAGAATCACCTGTTGAAACAGGGCAGTGTTTACTGTAGTGCTGTGGTGTGTTGTTCATGTTGTGTGCGGTGTTGTGTATCCTGTGTTGGGTATGTTGTGTTGTGTGTGTTGTGTGTGTTGTGTTGTGTGCTGACAGCAGGACAGGAGAGTGTGTCTGCATCAGTAAATGGAGGAAAGCTGAATAACAGCGTCTGATCTGGAGATCCTGCAGAGAGTCCTCACAGCACCTCCAGCAGCCTGACGGATGAACAATGCGCTGCGCTGCCTTTATTCTGGAAGACCCGGTAAACAAAGCCTCTGACGTGTGTGTGTGTGTGTGTGTGTGTGTGTGTTATCTGCAGGATTACGCAGACTCTCATTAACACACACCTGGTCTCTGCGCTGCTGCAGTGGATCTCACACAGCTCTCTCCAGCG